GGGGGGGGGGACGGGACGGGACGGCCGAGCGCCTCAGGTAAGGCGGCCAACGGCACCTTCTCTGCACCGGAAAGCGCCGCCCCTCCCTCAGCGCCACTTCCGGCTCCATGACCTCCGGAAGTCAGCTCCCAGAACTGGAAAGGAAGCACCCTTCTTGCCCCGGGGGCTTCAGTCTTGCCGGGGGAAGAATTTTCACAAAACTTCCGGTTTCCTGTGTGCGTGGCAGGAGCCTCCATGTGCGGGGCAGAAGGCGAGGGACATGTTCGAGGAAAGAAAGGGGGCAGGGTTAGTGTTTTTTTCCCCTCGGGGCGATGCTTTGATGTGATGACAATACAGTACTTCTCAGTAAAAAGAGCAAAAGCTTGATTACGAATTTAGTGCCAAGCTACCCATGATTTGAAGTGTCTTGTAGCATACGAAGCTTCAAAAAGGGGAAATTTTGCTTAATACATATCTATTTTCTAATTTTTAATGGTACAAAACCACAAATTTTCTTTTACGTTTACTACACTGAATAAACGCCAGTCTGAAACTTGAACTTATAAAACAAATGCTATTAAAAGCATTGGGATATGCTCAGAACGCTTTGGAATATAAATTAGAGGTAGGAAGATCTTCCAGGTCCATTTGGAGGTGAGCCAGCCCACTGGCAGAGGCTGGAGTTGTCCATAGCCTCATACCCTATATAGTTATATGCTCCAACCCACTGATCTATAGTAGTTTCATAACTATGGATGGAAGAGGTAGAGACTTCCTGAGAAAAAAAGTGCAATATCAGATGATACCAGCAACAGCAGTATTTAACTTAGGATGCAACTGCACTTCACTGCAATTTGATTTACAGCCTGTATTATGGCTGAATTTGCAGTCAGTAATGGACAAATTGTCAAGGGGAACCTTTTAAATGAGCGCACAGGAGCTGTGGATTGAATTTGGAGTTCAGTGTCCACATTATGTGATGTGATTTGCATTTCAGCCACAGCCAGCGGAAGTGCTAATCTCATATATGTAATAAATAATAATTGGAGGACAATCAGGAAGAAAGAACATGAGGGCTGGTGTTCTCATGGTCCTGAACATCATGCCTCAACTGACTATGTCACTGAAACACCACCCACCCACTTGTAGAGAAGTGTCACTAGAGCAAAAAGAGTTCGATTGATTCAAATAAGCCTTTGTGTCTGGTGATAAGAAAAAGAAATAGTATCAGCTCGACACTGTATCTTATCAACCTCTATTATAATTGCACCAAATCCTGTGGTATTTGATTGTGTAGTCACAGCCTGAGACACTGGATAAAAGCTTTTGACTTTTGTTGGTGTATGTGTAATACTGTACTCAGCTCTGCCCACCTGCCCCATGTCAATTTTCTGTCTTTGGTATTCAAGCTGCTTGTCACCAAGAAGGCCTCTTTCTTATGCCTCTCTATGACTCTGAAATGTTTCTCACTTTCTACTTGGCAGGGCTTGATACTATCTTAATTCTAGAAGGCAATTTTCAGAAATTTGCCCATTGTTGTCATGTATCCCTTCTAGAACATCAGAAAAATAAAAAGCAAAGTGTGCTGCTTATAGCACTTAAACACTTTCTGGTGGTTTTTTTTTTACAGTTTCGATTTTGGAGACTACACATTACACCTCCCCACCCTACAGCGAGCTGGGTACTCACTTTACAACCTTGGAAGGATGAAAGGCTCAGTCAAACTTGAGTTGCCTACCTGAAAATGTTGGAATCAAATTGTTTATGGAACAACCATGCTAAATACTTTAAAATGTACTGATGGGGCAATGTCAGGATTTAGAATTACATGTTCTGAGGTGAGCAGAATATCATACTCTCTGCCACAACACACTATGGTTCATTCCACTCTTAAAAGTTCAAACTGCCATCAGAAATTACATATGAAGAGGTAAACTGCTGTGCAGAACAGGGGGTAAAGTTGGCACAAATTTCACATACTGTACTGATGAGAATTAAATGGCTATGTTTGTTATACAGGAAGTTAAGACAGATCCTGGCCAGAATCATATTAGTTTCCCCCTAAACAATAACCCTCTTATATTGCATGTATGATCAGGAGAGTAAGCGGTTTCAACAAGCTTTGTTTTGCCTCTGGCCTGCCTGCTTCTCCTAGCAAATCTGTCATCTGAAGGGAAGAGGTGTGGAACAGTGGTAAGCTGTGAGTTCTTGCCTTAACCTAGGATTTACTTTTATTTCCTGAAGTATAAATTACAATTACAGGCTAGGCTTCTAATCTTTAGAATAAATTTATTATCTAACAATGGAAGACTATAATTAGGAAAGTCAAGCAAAAAACAGGAGGGATCAGAGGTACTTGCCCATATAGCACATTGTTTAGTGTTGGACAAAAGTGGGTGGGAACAGATGTTGTACCAATGCACCTCTGTAACTTCTCAGTGTGGAAAAAGGGAGAGCAGGCAGAAAGCAGTGTCCATGTTCATTATCTTTTGACTAGGACCAATGAGAATTCAGCTATAATATTGCAGTTAAGAGGTCAAGCAGCAGGGCATAATGTAATATCTCAAAGTAATAATTTGTCACTGACTGCCTTGTTCTAATGCAATTGTTCCATAGAAACCTGATGCAGACAGCATAGACAAATCTGTAATTTGGGTTTAGAAATCACTCCAATTTTACTCTGCAAAATATAATCTACTTGAAAGCTCCTTCTTCAACTGTCACTGTCAGAGGCCTGCAGCACTAGAGTGGAAGATAGGGTAATTGTAAGCAGTCGTGCTAGAATGCTATTTGCTTTTTCCCTTTCTACTCTTTTTTCCTTTCATGCTATTTTTTTAAAGATTGTAAATCAACAGGTGAGGAATCTTCTGCTGACTGTATGTAAGTGCTCTGTGTAAAGTGCTATTTGAATGAGAAGCAAGATGAAAATCTGTAAGTGGAGATATTCAGATAGACTACAATGAGATATTTTTTAATGTAGCGATAAATCAAAACTGCAGTTCTGATTACTCATAGTTTCAGTTGTTGTCTATGGGGGTGGAACTGATAGGACACCCCCACCCTGAAAACCTATTTTTCTACTGCAGTTTCATATAACTCTTTCAGCTTCAGTGCCAAACATGCTTGTCTGTTAGTCCTCTTCAAATCAATGTTTGTTCTGGAACAAAGAAGGTCAAGTGCACGTTGTCAATTTAGAGCTGATGCAGAATCTCTGGGGAAACTAAAGGTAAAAACATCAAGGCTTCAGACTGAATCCATACCATCAGCAGTCTCAAGTCCATGTCTCTTTCCAGAATCATAGCAGTTATTTCCATAGAAATATATTTGAGACTGAAGCACGAACAGGGACACAGTCAGTACCTTCTTTACCCGTTTATTGTTCTTTAGAGTAGCCAGCTATACTGAAGATAACATCTTTTGAGTGACCATTGATCAGATGGGTGGTATAAACATTAAATAAATAAAAATAAATTTTGATTTTCAAGTCAAAACTATGCTTTCATGGGCAAGGTAGAATTTTCTCCAATCCTAAATTGTACAGATAGTCTCATCACAGCACTTCTCTGAGCTTCCTCACCTTTGCCTGCCCCCTTTTAATTAATAGGCTGTTATCACCCAGGAGAGAATCACACAATCAGGCCAAGCCAAGCCAAGCCAAAATGGGGAGTGCAAATTATCATAACAGTCCATAGATTTAGCTAAAACATCACTGATAAGGACAAACAAAACTAATTCACTCAAAAAATTTTGTTCTGGAGATCAGCAATAGCTATATCAGCACTACTTCATCTCCCTATGTTCCGTCCCTTTCTCTAGGTATGCAAATCTTAGTTTACTGGCTATTGCATTGAAAGATTTGCCTGCCCAGCAGATGGCATCTAACTCACAAACTTGCCCAAGAGCTAACAGTGGAACTTTCGGGGCTGTTGTAAGGAGTCTGGCAAGAAACCCACACACCCATGTGCAAACACACCCAACACGTGTGCCTTGGCAGTCTGTTCACTTTGGCCATTTCTGAGATAAGGTGGGTTCATATACAGTCTGGTGTGATGCCAGCAATAAACTCTGACAGACACAGAGAAAGATTTCTGCTGGCAGCTGATGCTGACATGTGTGGGGTTTCAACTGCATGAAAGACAGAAGACAAATTTTTGTCCCTACTGTGCTGTAAAGAATTGCTAGAAGCAGAAAAAGGCAGCTGTAGGATACACAATAGGCTTATTTGTATGGACGTTAATCCATGACATTAACCTCAATACTCCCATGATCTTTTGCAGAGGAGGGGTTATATTCCACACTAATTTTAAGACAGTCTGTGAAAAGGGAGCATGAATTTTAAGTGGCAGAAATCCAAGTCCCATACTGTATCTTATTCTATGACACAGCCAGCAAGCAGCACATAGGGTGCCCACCTAACCTGAGCTGAGTCGGAGCTGTTTTGAAAATGAAAGTGGGGCCGGGAGATCTCAAGACACTTTGTATTATCAAGATAAGCACCAGAGACACTCCTCTCTGCCCCAAATGAGTAATCTAATGATGTTCCAGTTTAATTTTTTTTGTTCTATTCTTTATTGTTTTTTATGCTGATTTAAAGCTGTCTTGCACACTACCTAGCAGCAGAAAGGCAAAGTAGAAATTAATGTAATGCTACAACATAAATGCTTAGTCAAGGCGTTTCTACATCAATTGGGATTTATTCTCCATTGCCTTGCCAGAGAAAAAAGTGAGACACTTTCCAACTGTTCTGTTTCCCTAAGTAATTTATTAATGTTGTTCTTTAGACATTCTTTCTCAAATCCTTTTTCAAAAAGTTGCTTCATTGAGCAATCTGCATATAGCCGAATATATTGCTTTCACTCTGCAGATATCACATGATGGGTTTCCTTTTCCCTTATGAGTTTGTTTGTATTATATTCAGGAAGTGGAAACTGTGAACACGGCTTTTTGTTTAGTTATTTTCATACTAAAGTTCAGTAAATGATTGCCTCTTTACTGGACAGTTTATTAGGCAGCCCATCTCAGTTCTACACTTCATTTAAAATAACTGTTAAGTATTGTGTCCAAATTTTTGTTAGTAAGCAAGAAGACAATAATTGTCTGATGCTGCGAGTTGTCTTCAGAAGTGTTTTAGAGTTTTGGTTATGCACTGTTGCATAGATAAACTGTTATATTAAAATATAAAACTATACTTCTAGTCCATGGTCTCTAGTATATTTTACATTGGTGCCCCGCTAGACGGTTACTCCACTTGATGATGAATCCGCTGTACGATGAGTTTTTTTGCGATCGCTATAGCGATTGCAAAAAATGATTCAAAGGTTTTTTTTCGCTTTATGGCGATCAGTTCCCTGCTTCGGGAACAGATTTTTCGCTTAATGACGATTCAAAACAGCTAATAGGCGGGTCGCAAAATTGCTCCCCACTGTGTTCAGGACGGATTCTTCGCAAGACAGGGACCGCAAAATGGCCACCGCATAGAGGATTTTTGGTGCACAAGCAGATATTTCCCCCATTGGAACTCATTGACCAGTTTTCAATGCATTTCAATGGGGTTTCCCCCCCACTTGACGACGATTTCGCTCTACAGCGATTTTGCTGGAACGGATTATCGTCGTCAAGCAGGGCACCACTGTACTGTTAAACCAGTTGAACTCTGCTGAACATCAGTAACAGTGTAGGCACTATCATTATCCAAATTTATCGCCTGCCCAAATCTTGATTTAGTGCCACGAACACTCTTCTTGTAAACTAAAAAAAGAGCAGCAATTGGCCAAGTTTAGGATACAAAACTGGCCTTCAAACTGGAAGCAAATTCCATTGATCTGGAGGTATGGAATATGCATATTGTCCAAGCACAAAAACACAAAGCAGTATGTGTATCAGGAATTTCTCCTTCCTGAATCTTTTACTAATTGACATACAAACAGGACCTTTCACAACCTGAGCCACCAAGGCATTTATTTAGGTTGGTTGTCAACACAGCCACTTAAGAGACAATCCTGATTATAAACATCACCTCCAGATGGATCAACCATGACTAATAGACTCCTTTTCTTTTGGTTGCCCTCTCTAGTGAATCTAGTTGACTTTTAATACAGCAGTACATGTTTATCCCATGCCAAGGAAATTCCAGCTATACCTGAGGGACTTTCCTACTATCCTGTCCAAGTCAGGATGCTCTTCAGATACACCATTGCCTCAGTCATGTACAGTATGTATACACAAAGGAGGATCGCCCAAGCTATGGTTGTTCTAAGCAGAACAGCAAACTGAATTGTGCATTTATTTTGTCCTTGCTTACATTTTCCATAGTTATAGCTAAGAAAAGGGTTTATCTAGGAAAGAAAAAGTCTTCATTACTTCCTCCATTAGTATTTAGGGCTCTTGAATACTGGCTTATGTTTGACACTGTATTGCTTTCTACTGTCCTTGTTTCTTCAGAATCAACCAGGGCAAAATGAGTACTTCTACTGGAATTACAAAGATGTACAAAAGTCTATGTGCTTTTCCTCATGTCCAAAAATTCAGCAAGAACTCTCCTGGAGTTTTTGGAGGTGGTGTTCTATCAGTCACAGGAGTTTCCTCTGGCATTTTGATCACACATGACCAAGTTTCTGTCCAACTGTTCTTCTCCTTGACCCTAGTATATTTCAAGCAGGACAAAACAGACTTTATCCTCCAGAGTTTTATATGACTGCAGTCTAAACAATGTTTTTATCCTACTGGCACTGCTATCAATCTAACCATCATATGGTTCATACCAGAGACAAAATAATACAGTTGAAGAAATTACACAAGTCCCTTATAGGATCCTTACAGCTAGATTCCAGTAGAAAGACAAAAACAGCATTTTTAAGGAAGGTAGTCACTTGCCAAGGGCACCTCTTTTCTTGGGAATACAATCCGGTTTAAGGCCACTTTGAAATATCTCATTTATGTTAAATACGTATGTTGTTTGTGTTGAGCTCAAATCATGTCTAGGTCCAAATTCAGACAAATACCACTTAGCCAGTTTATGGCTACAATGTCATAACACCATCTTAGCACTTTGAAATCAGCTGCTGTGACAGGATTACTGAAGTCCTTTTAGAAACTTCCTTACTTCCCCACCTGATTTCACTGTGACATCATGCAAAATCTCGATGAACCACTCACTCCATGGAGAGCACACACACATGCACCAATCGTGGGCTCATACAGAGAGCCATACATCCCAGCTTTCCCTTCCCCACCCTCTCCAGAACACACACAGCCCACAGACAGTCCCAGGATTGCATCACTCGTACTCCACTTGGCTTCACTGCTTCTTTGCATCTGTTATCTGGATTGGGATGAGGGTACTTGTCAACCCGGAGTGCGGGTGGCTAAAGCCTCTTGCATTTTCTGGCGACAATGGGCATATTTCTGCAGGATCTGCCGAATATGTTCTTCCTCTTCACGCTGAAGGATACGCAAGAAATTCTGTAGCTCAGGCATGCTAAAAGCATCCCACTGCGGAAAAGTGTGAGAAAGAAGAAAATGAGCAAAGTGCTGATGGCATGTGGAATCACGTCACCATGTTAATCATAAATTCAGCTATCAGCCCAAAAAGGAGAAGAGAGCATTTATGATAATTAGGAAACCTAGATTTGGTGCAAGAGAGGCAACTGGGGAATGCTGTATGCAAGTATAGCAGGGGTGGCCAAAGGTGCTCCTCCAGATCCTTTTTTGCCTATAACCCCATCACCATTAAACAACATAGCAACTGCTGAGGGACAAAAACTGAGAGCCGCAGTGACCTGATACATGCAGGGAGGTGCAGAAAAAACAACAACTGGGAAGTATGCAACACTGGCACTCATATTTGACTACACTCAAAGCTCATGAAGTATACTGAAAAACCTTCACAGTAAACTACTGTTTTCAAACTTTCTAAAAAGCTTGAAAAGTTTCCCTTTTGGAGTAGTTATGAGTGTTAGGAGAACCCTTCAGCCACTGCAGATCAGGCCCAATGGAAGTCATATTGCCAAGCTATACACCCTAGACCAGCAATGGTGAACCTATGGTGCTCGTGCCACAGCTGGCACGTGGAGCCCTTTCTGCCAGCACGCAAGCCACAGGCCACCAGATCACTACTCTCCCCCTCCCCCCGTGCAGCCAAACCTGAGAAGGTGTATATGTGTGTAGGCAGAGGGTGGGTGGGTAAGGAGACCCTGCCTTCCTTTGAATCCTGCGAGCACCACTGGTGGATGGGGTGGATGGAAACAAAGGAACTTAACTTGCCTTCCATCTCCCCCCTTCGCCTCCCTCTAATGATGTAGGACACTTCCTCCCTCCCTTGAAGGGACAAAGTCCCAGGTGAGACTAGAGAGGAAAAGGAGGCGGTGCTAGAGGCAGGCAGGCAGGAGGTGGAAGAGAACAATGCTCCTGCAAGGGCTTCATCGAGTGCATATGTACAAGACCCTGGTGTTGGCAGTGGATCCGGAGTGGGCTCTTGAGGCACCTCCATGCCAGGATTGCCATTTCCAGTTCTGCCGCCGTGGCTCCCCCCCCCCCCTGGTTTGGGCACACACGCCCAAAAAGGTTCACCAGCACTGCCCTAGACTAATGGAATAAATCAGAATCAAGATAAAATATGAGAAAGCCAGTGTTTCACTATTTTTCACTCTGTCAACAATGTACTATTAATCCACCTACCCCAAATTAGAATTTGATGGGGAGGGGGACACTGGGATGCATAAGATGATTTAAAAAAATACGATGCCCACATTTTTCTAGCATGAAGCCACATTCTGCCATTCTAATTCTAACAAAGGATTTATTGAACACTGTTAACTGCTTTTGGAAGCCCAAAGAGCCCCTTTTATGGTCTCACTCTCTCTTACTTAATTCTCAGGGGCAGTTACCTGAAGGGAGTTAATTACTCTTTTCAAACTGCAATTTTTAATTGAGTTGTGTCCACTCATTATATTATAAAATTGTATGTATGACACTGAAAGATTTCACAGAAAAAAACATAGCAGAAAAATGTCTATTCTACATCATATACAGTGGGGTCTTGACTTAATCTGTATTGGAAGGCGGTTCTCAAGTCAAAAAGTCTGTAGGTCAAGTCTCCATTGACCTACAGTGCATGGAAAACCGATTAATCCCATAACAGGCTGCTTTTGTTCCATTTTGGTTTTTTTCTGCTCTGTAAGTCAATTCTCAGGCTGCAAGTCAAACCTAAATTTTGCAGCCAGAGAAGTCTGTAACTCAAAAAGTCTGTAAGTCAAGGGTCCACTGTATTGTAAACCAACCATGCAGTGTTTGTCTCTATTTAACCAAGTTAAAGGACAAACAGTCTTCATCCTGTCAGATGAATCTGTACCCCACATAATGTAATTTAGCATGGAGACTAAAATATGCTATCAATATGCATACTTACATTGACTTCTCCAGTCTCATTCTCCTTCAGAACAAAGCTGAGTGCCTTTTCACTAGGGCCAGCTAAAAGTCGGAGACGCAAGGGCTGTTCCTCATCAGAAAGCTTGCGGAGATACACTGACAGATAAAACATCAGAAACTGAATTCAGTAAATAATGCAACCCCTTGTACATTAGATCACCATATTCCTTTCAAGGAGAAGGTGCAATTATTTTCCTATTTTTCCCTCCCTGTATCTATAAACAGAGAATGCAACAAGAGACAGATCAGGAGCAAAGGACGCAAGGGAGATTCAATTACTGTATTTTCCGTGTATACGACCCCCCCAATGTATAAGACGACCCCCTAATTTTGACCATTGCTGGAGGCGGAGGAGCAGTTAGTTAATGAGCAACCGCTCCTCCACCTCCATCTGCTGATTCCACTGCCTGATCACTTCATCTGTTGCGATTGCCAGGGCTCACCTTCAGCTCACATCGTCGCTGCCTTGTCCCCTGCCTGAAGGGAGCACTGGAGGAAGCGATGGTGGCAGCAGTCAATGGGCAACAGCAAGAGGAGCCCAAGCATGCGTGAGTGCTCCTTTGCCTCCACCTCCTGCTACTGCCGCCTCTGCGATCGGAGGAGACAAAGCAGCGATGTGAGCCCCGACAGTCGTACTGGAGGAGGCAATGGGTGGCAGTGGCAACAGCAAGAGGCACCCGAGCGCACGAGAGTGCTCCTTTGCCTTCATCTCTGCCTCCTGCTGCTATCGCCTCTGCCACTGCCACTGGAGGGGACAAGGCAGCAACGTGAGCTGGAGGTGAGCCCCAGCAGTCGCGCTGGAGGAGGCAATGGCGGCAGCAAGAGGTGCCCGAGCGCACATGAGTGCTCGTTTGCCTCTGCCTCCTTCCATGTATAAAACAACCCTCAATTTCCCCCTAATTATTTTAGGAAAAAGTGTTGTTTTATACACGGCAAAATACGGCAATTCCCTTTCAACATACTGACTCTAGTTGTACACCTGTAATTAAAAGTAATGAGGTGTATCTCTTCTACTCCCTAGATGTTTCACAAATTATGTCAGGCATGCACTTTTCATCTTCAAGAGAAAGTGAACAAACTTGCTCTGGATGGTCTCTGAAATATTTTTCCCACCTCTTATCTGAGAGTTTTAATCAGTGTTTCAGCAATATCATATTGTTGTTGAAAATGTATGAAGAAATCTTTGGCACAAGTCAGTTTGCAAAATATACTAGTTCACAAATAATACTCATTTAGCCACTATCAAATACTTTTTGGTGCCATCTAAGCCTGAGAAGTGTATGACATATTTATAACCAATACTTATGTTGGTCCTATAGGCATTCTGACAGCCCAAAGAAGAATCTCTCTTGCAGCTAATAAAATCTTGTTTTCCTGGCTGTGTGGAAGCAATATTAACTGCTACAGATTACCATACAAATGGCTATTTACAAGTCTGGAAGAAGCTACATGCTTTTTTTTCAAGGAATACCTTGGTCATCCTTTTCTGTTCTCTCAAAGAGAGCAAACTTGCGGGGATTGTCAACTACCATGAATTTCTTCAGAAGTGCCTCAATAACTTCACTGGCACGTGTACGAGAAATTATGTGCAGGTGCTTGACTGTGTCCTTGGGTAAGTAAAATGATGTGCGGCGCTTTACAGCCTGGCTGCGGGAGGTACTCTTCCTGGTGTCCTGGATGGAAGGTGCCTTCTTGTTAGCAGGTACTGAGACAGGACGTATTAGCTTCAATTGCACCTTGATAAAGCCAGTGTATGAACCATCTTTGTTCTGTGGGAGTAAAGGTACAGTGAGCAATGCAGGAGAGTCAGTCACATAGCAACAGAAGTCAGTAAGAACCTAAACACACTGTAGTTCATAGACTCTCTCAACATTAAAGAAACCAAAATAAATTATTATAAACCACAAGCAGAGCTCTAGCTGCAAATTGTGGACAAAGGAAGATTTACATTAAGTTTTTGCATTTGCTGTATTTGAGGATACCACAGACTTAGGCATAGAATACTATTCCCCTGGAATGGTTGCTATATAGTATTTTTGAGGAATAGTGATGTGGCTGGCAGGACTGGTACAGGTGTTTGAAGCTCAGATGTCATCAGTCAGATATTTGAGCTGTTACATCTCCTAAAACTTACCAAGCTCATGAAGAGGTTGCTGTTAATCTGGCTGTTATACTCTTTTATCTTCTGTTCAATTTCATCTTGGGATAGAATGGGTTTTTCCCAATCAATCTGCTCGTCCTGCAAAAAAGATGATGATCCCAAATTTACACTTCAGTCTCAGAAATTGGAGGCTCAGCTCAGTCCCTTTCAGCCTCTTCTCCCAATTTCTGGGATAAAAAAACAAACAAAACAAAACTAAATCAACTTTGCATTCTGTTAGACAACTCTGGCACCTTTTCATAGGTCTATGAAATTGATTTTCCCTACCACAATGCCAATACAGCTCATAAACCTCCCTGCCTATTTGCTAAGATCAAGAGTTTTTCCTCTTCTTCTCAGGTCAGTACTCTGACATTTTCTGAAGAAATTCACAGTACCTTTCTTCCCTGTAGGTCTTTCATGGAGTAGAAGAGAGGTGGCTGTTTACCTGCAATAGGTATTACTGTTTAATGAACTGCAATAATACTGAAGGCTCCAGCGCTACCTCCTGCTATCCCCATTTGGCAGGAGAAAGGGATAACTACAGTACTGTACCTTCTTTTCTCCAAGGACAATAGAGGTGGAGCTAAAGGGTGGTTTCTCTCCTGCACACGTCCAGACAGCAGAAAATGCTGCTTATCATCTATAAAAGTACAGCAGAATGATGAAAATCTCTCTGCAGGTTCATTGTGTCATGCGGCTCTTGCAATAGAGGGGATGGTGGCACTGACAAGTAATAGCTTGACTGATAAAGCAACTCAAGATTCTTTACACAACCTACAGAATGCTTGCTCCTGGCCTGCAGTATAATCCCTGTATACTTCACCTCGGCAAGTTTTGTCATTAACATAACCTCTTTTTTTGTCTTCCAACTGCAGCTTCCCCAAACCTCCTACATATTAAAACAATCATACTTTCAATCTAAAGTGTGACATGCACTTGTGTTACATACATATCTAAAACTCTTAGAAGAGGTTTCCTTTCCAATCTATTTCTTTAACTCTTTTGGATTCGAAATGCAATTTTGAGAATTTGGCCTCTTGGACTGTAAATGATAATGGTAAGCACAACCAGATTCCTAGACAAAAACACCTCAGAAATAGTTCATCTATCCCTCCGTGTGATACCATGTACAGTGGGGTCTTGACTTGAGAACTTAATCCGTATTGGAAGGTGGTTCTCAAGTCAAAAAGTCTGTAAGTCAAGTCTCCATTGACCTACAGTGCATTGAAAACCGATTAATCCCGTAACAGGCCGTTTTTGTTCCATTTTGGTTTTTTTCTGGTCTGTAAGTCAAATCTCAGTCTGCAAGTCAAACCTAAATTTTGCGGCCAGAGAAGTCTGTAACTCAAAAAGTCTGTAAGTCAAGCCGTCTGTAAGTCAAGGGTCCACTGTAGCTTGCCGAACATCACACAGGTGGCAGGGCCCATATCCCTACCAGCCACACAATCCATGGGTTATTTTGGCTGGTTCCTCTCTTGAGAGGCAAAGTTGAAAGTCAAACTCCCAGCCAAATTTCTAAATTCTCCAATCCACTGAGCTACATGGGCTATTTTCATTTGCATATCCAGAATCATTTTGCTGTTAGAAATTCTGTATAAAATCTCCAAACTGCTTTTTAAGTGCATCCTTGGCGACCATCCTGGAAAGCTAACTCCAGGAGCAGTTTCAGAATAAATGTTTATTCCTCCTTTGGATGGTAATATTAGGGTCCAAGAATGTAGCTATCACCACTGCTAACTGGGAAACACATATTACATTGGTTTGAACAAAGATCACAATGTACCAATTTGGCCATAAATTATCAAATGATATAGACCACTCCTTAAAAAGCCTAAGCTGGACCCAAGGCTGGTGGTCAACTATTTGGGCAAAGTGTTGGAGCGGGTTGTGGCCGGGCAACTCCAGGCGCTGCTGGATGAAATGGATTTTCTGGATCCATTTCAATCGGGTTTCAGGCCGGGTTTCGGTACGGAGACTGCCTTGGTCGCCCTGTACGATGACCTTTGCCGGGAGAGAGACAGGGGGAGTGTGACCCTGTTGATACTCCTGGACCTCTCAGCAGCTTTCGACACCATCGACTATGGTGTCCTTCTGGATAGGCTGGATAGGCT